TCTCTCTCTCTCTTCCCCTCTCTCTCTCCTAATTTTTTTATTAAACTGAAATGGAGGGAGAATAAATTTACATCTATATTTACAAAGAATTAGTAGTTGCAGTATATTTTGAACTTACAACTTTGCCCCGTGTGTATATGCACGATATATGTAGATGTGTGTTTGGATTAATGTGTATCTGCGTATGATGAATTGGACCACATTACAGGTTTATCCTAAGAACTCCGGAGAATTCATGTGGAGTAGTAAGGTGAAGGCAGCATCACCATTAACTCAAGTAATGTTGTTGAAAATGTTACTCTATTTGTCCCAATTTATGTATTATAATATCTTTTTTAATATGTCTAAAAAATAATGTCATATTTCTCCTTAAACTACATGCCAGTGGCCACATAAATTGGGACTGATGAGTAATTGAATTTTATGTTGAAACTGAGTAGCTATTTCTCGCCCACTTTTTAATACGGTGTCTGAATCAGCTAATTGCACGTTGACTTGTGCAAGCACGAGATAATTAAGAGATCAACTCGTCCAAGATAAGGAAAAGATCAACTTAGAAAAACTTGATGGTTAGTTTATTATAGGCCAAACCCATAAACGGCCCCTTTAAGTTGGCTGACTTGGCTCTGCGTTTCATTTTGGCACCTCTACTTAGACCTTTTCCATTTTGACATTTCAACCCCTTATCTCATGTGCCATTTAAACACAATGAGATAAGGGGTTGGAGTGTCAAAATGGAAAAGGTCTAAGTAGAGGTGCCAAAATGAAAAGCTGAGCCAACTTAAAGGGGGCGCTTATGGGTTTATATTAAAGCTTTGAACGAACCGATCATGTTGTAGTCATTAAATTGATACGAGGATGTAGTTGTAATTGACTTGAAAGTAAAAGCGGTATAGCGGTAGAGAGAACAACACAGTATTAAGGAAGGATTCGTGGGAGAATATAGGGAAACTTTCTAACCTTGATCTAGTGAAACTAATTGGGATGATTGTAAAAGCTGCAAATACAGCTCGGATGCACAAAAAGAATTGCAAGTGACGGGTGCAGCATCTCAAATTAATCGGTAATCTATTAGAGCAGCTACAAATTGCAGAACTTAAGAAGTATCCTGAAACTCGAGAGCCATTGAACAACTTCAAAATGCATTGAGGAGGTCTTACATGTTAGTCAATAGTTGCTAGGATGGGAGCTATCTTAATTTTTTGGCTATAGGATAGAACACTGGAAACCAGTTCGGCAAATCTCAAGACGAGATCGGCCAATATTTGAAGATCATCCCTCTTTTCACTTTGATGGATAATGCTCGATTCAGAGCAATAAAACTTTGCTCTCTTTATCTATAGCGCTAGACTTATATCTTTACAATTGTTTCATCACCTATTTTATTTCGTTGGTGATTTCCCCCGCACCTATGTGTCTGTTCTTACTTATACAATCTAATTAGATGATTAATCTTAATAGCATCCAATTGTCGTTATGGAACCTAAACTTGGCTACAACGTTTGTAGCTCCTTATCGTTGGAAGAATAATGAATAGTTTAAACAGCAAAACACTTATAACATTATACGTCAAGTCTCAACTTTTACAATCTTATACTGACCAAGTCCAAGAGCCCAACAACACATGCATATATATATATATATATATATATATATATATATATATAAGAGTCAACTAATAAAGGTGAGCGTCCAAAGATGACAGAATGTAGTAAGTTGACCCGCTAAAAAGAGAAAAGTGGGTGCACAATTCTGAACCTCTCAACAAGCCAAAAGCAAATGAAAGCTCCCAACTTCTGCACATTGTCTTTACATCACACATAGAGTAACCAACCAATTTCTTCTCAGCGTACCAAATAGACATTTACTTTTCTTCAATCAGAAGCCAAAGTGTCACAAGTCTGCTTACATAATACTCTATCTTGTGATGTCCTCCTAGCCTGATCGAGGCGGCAGTTTAGTTAGAAAATGCAACAGATGAGAAAGTAGGACCAATGTTTCTGTGAATTGAGGTAGACCTCGCGTACCCATCCAACTCCCAACAAGCTCTCTATCGGTTTAATCCATTCACCGTAACATCTTTAAAACTAACACATCTCTCAGGATGAGCATCCAATAAATGAAGCAGTCAAGGCTTTAGGTGAAACCGAACATAGGAAATATGTCCATGATGCAACAACAGAAATATGTTTAGCAAATTCGTAAGTTGGTTAAGGAGAGACAAAATGCTCTCAGCCACAGGTTCCTAGGTAAGTAGTATCTTCCAATCTACGAATCTAACCTTCATCTTTCCGACGACTTTCACCACCGGAGAAACTGAGTTTTTTCCCAAAACACCTTCCATGATTGAGTAAAAACTAGTTTAAACACATGTTTCTTCACTGTGTTGTTACCTCTCAACTGGGGCACGTGTTTTTACATGTTTTTGACTATTGTCAGATTGAATTGCATCATGCCAAAAGATACAAAAGGGTGTTTGGATTGGCTTATTTTAAGTGCTTATTGACTTTTAAGCACTTTTTCAGTTTTTGTTGTGTTTGGCAATGGAAAAAAGTGCTTAAAAGCACTTATTTTTAGGCATGAAAAGTACAAAAATAAGCCAAAAGTTGGGTATTACCAGCTTATGACTTTTGTCTTTTAGCTTATAAGCTACTTTTGAAAAGCCAATTCAAACACCCTCTAGACCTCTTGAGATGTTGGGTTGGTGTGACAGACGAAGTCAGACTGAAGAAATGGTGGCGGAAGACCCCAGCCTGCATTTGGTGGACAGTCTGGAACGAGAGAAACTCTGGATGTTTTGTGGATACTAGCAATCCCATTCACAAAATCAAAATGAACTGTTAGTACTTTCTCTTTTTTTGGTGTAAAGAATGTCATGTAAATGATAGTAAGTCCATACTTGATATCACAGAATCCTTGTAAGTTTTTGTAGTAGGGGAACCTTTTACTATTTTTGGGATATGTATTTTGTCACTTCTATCAACACATACTTTGAGTTGTTTACTTTTATAAATGTTACCACTCTCAAAGTAAAAGATTGTCGAAGAGCAAAATGGTTCCTCACTTCTAGAAAGAGGTGGGTGTGGCACCTATTGACAACAAGATGCGAAAAGCGCGGCTTAGGTGGTTTGGTCATGTGGGAGGAGGAGCACACACTCTGGTGAGGAGGTGTGAGAGGTTGACATTGGAGGGCCTACGGAGAGGTAGAGTAAGGTCAAAGAAGAGGTAGGGAGAGATGATTAGGCAACACATGGCACAGCTTCAGCTGTCGGAGGACATGCCCTCGATAGGAAGGTATGGAGGCAGGATTAGGGCAGTAGAGCAGGTAGTCTAGGGTGTTCATAACAGTAGTATTGGTACGCAGTCTCGCTTCCTGTTGGTAGAAGATTTTTATGACTAACAGTTGTTTTCTTTCATTGTTGATCACCATACTGTCTTGTTATTTTTATTCTGCTTTTATATGGCTTTTTGGTATTGTCCCTTCTTGTCTATATTTTCATTAATGTGGTGCTTATACTTTCCTGAGCTGAGGGTCTATTGGAAACAGCTTCTCTATCCTCACAAGGTAGGGGTAAGGTCTGCGTACACGCTACCCTGCCCAGATCCCCACGGTGTGGGATAATACTGGGTATGTTGTTGTTGTTGCAGTAGTACTTTTAGATAGAGGGACGATTTGAAGTTTGTGTGACGAGATGATCTTAACTCTACCCTTAAGTTTCTCTGAGAACAGAAACATGTGGTTCAAATAAACACTCAGAATGCTCTAAAGCCTCATCATTCTACCTAAAACAAATAATTTAACTTCAGACGTCAAAACTAGAATATATGTGTTGTCTCAACTGTGTTAGAGATTCTTTAAACCTACATACTAGGCAGATTACCCCAGCAGCACATCATAAATTGCAAAAGCATGGATATGGCTGTCGAGAAATAAGTTACATGATTATGGAGCTAGATACCAAATTGGAACAGCAAAGCAACTAATGAATAAAATGTAGTCCTCTGTCACTTTTGTTGACTAACTTTGTGTTTTAGCCCATTCCAGAGCTTTGACCTCTTTCCTAGAATGGCAACATTTTCCCTCCAACAATTCAAACTGATAACTTTTTCATCCGTAGCGGTGGTGACCAAGCTAGCCGCACGCACCTCGACTTTTCCATTGAGTACTTGCTACCTTCCACCAGTACAAGTACAGAGTAATTCTACCTACCAAGACTTAGGCTGGTGGAAAACATCAAGAAATCACTTAGCATTTTTGTTTCTGCTAGGATTTGAACCTCGGTCTACCCCCTATGATTTTAGTCCACATTGTTGACCGCTAGACCATACCTTTGGGTGCAACAATTCAAACTAATATAAATTAATATTGTTTTATATTAATTCCAATTTGATCCCCTCTAACAATTCAGAATAGTATAAAATATACTACTTTATATTAATTCCAATTTAATGTGACATATTTCCATAATACTTCTCCACTTTTTTAAATAATAGATTATTATTGCAAGTCTTCCACCAAACACAATATTCTACTAAACATTGAGCCAATGTTATACTTGGACTCCGTGAAACTTAAAAGTCAAATATGGATAGACAACAACATACCCGGTGAAATCTCACAAGTGGGACCTGGAGAGAATAGTGTGTACGCAAACCTTACCTCTATCTCGTAGGAGTAGAGAGGTTATTTCCGAAGACCCTCGGCCCAATGAAAAATGGAAAGAAGCATAGTAACAACATCGATATAATAAGATGAAAAAAGAGAAAGAAATAACTAGTAATATAACTCCACGAACAAGAATACAAGACTAGATACTAGTGCAACGGGTATGGCAAAGAAATACACTCAACTAGCCACGAATCCTCTATACTGGTCCTCATTCTCCACACCCTCCGATCAAGAAAATATTGGATAGAACGAGTAAATAACAGTAATAAAGCACCTAGATGATGAAGAAAATAGAAAAGGAGGCACAAGGCAAAAAAAGCATAAACAGTACCTATACTTGCTCAATAGAGGATCATCCATCATTTCCCTCAGCAAAACTCCATCAGTAAGAAATTTGACCCTAGTTAATTCCTGTTGTACAAGACACCCCCATTACTATTCCATGCCTTTATCCCCCAAAAAAAATTTATTCAAGGTCAACATAGTCACAAAGCAATACCAAAATAAACTTAATTCATTTACTTGAAAAAACATTATAAGACCGAACACCTTGAAATATGCAATCCCAACAGATGTCAAAAGATATATCTGTTCTTTTGGAACTTATGAACTCTAAAAATACCCATGATAAAGCAAAATATTATTCCTTTATCCCAGTAAAATGGTAAGTATAAAAAAAGAGCTCCCACCTCATTTGTGATATCTTCAAATCGAATAGTATAACCAACTTCTTCACCAAGTTTAACATCCATTTCTTCGGCAACTCTTGAAGCAACTGCCTGCAAAAAGATTGAGACTTGAAAGAAATTTTCGTATTACTCGAACCATAGACATTATGGTCCAAAAGATTATGAGCAGGATGTCTGTGTTGATCTTCAACCATATGCTTGGGCCAACATGTGGTGCTATATTTACCAGAAGTTCACACCATTAAGCTGAACTGGTGACGCTTAAGAGTTAAGACTGAATCCAACAGAAACAAGCATAGTCATCTTCGCAGTTTCACAAAACAAGTTTTATGTTATGGGAAGCAGATAGTATCCTGTTGACTTAGTAAAATCAATTCCACACTCTTTTAAGCGCAAGAACACTAACTAAAATTAGGGCACCATGTCAATATTAAACACTTTTCACTTTCTTAACCAAGAAACTAAAGTTATTACACTACAGACAATGTTAACTGTAAATACAAGTATCCGGGTGACTCTCAAAAAGAAAATTACAAGTTCAAATATATCTGTCCCTCACAAAATGATATCAGACATACATATAAGAAGACATAAAAGTTCACTCTTTAAAGAGCATATAGTGCTTAGTCACAGAATATCATACCTGGACTGCCAGCCTCCTTGGCTGGGTGCATGCTATCATACGCCCTCCCTCAGCCCAGCCAGCTTCTTTGAGGTACTGCACACATTAAAATGTATCATATACCATTAAGCTTTTCAAGTTTCAAGAAAAAGGTTCATTTCTCCAGACGAACTAAAACGAAATGTTTATTCACATGTCCTAGACAAAGAATAAAGATACTACAACCATGGTGCCACTTGAAAGTGATATGAAAGAAAAACTGTTGTTTGGTAAAATTATTTATGATTTTTGGTTGCCAAACCTACTGAAGAATTTTACACCAAATAAGAGGAAAACAATTTGCTGCATGGCTTTGTCATTTTCCGCTTCGCTCCCACTTTATATCTCTTGCTCCTACCAACATATATACTTTACTTGCACACTTTCTTAAAATTATTAGTAAGTACCACCTCACATGCAGCATAATTCCCCCTCCCCCCAGCCACTATCATGTCCCACCAAATTTATTTTCTTTTTTTCGAATTTACTTTCAACCGACTATCGGAAATGACATAGGAAATGATCTTCTTAGATAAAAATTTCTATATATACTATTTTTTATGGATAAATTCGCCTATGTGAAAAGGGCTCCACTCCTGGATCAATGGAGGAGCCACATACAAGGAAGTTCGTCGGATTATTGAAAAGGACAGCTCGGAGCACAAAGCATCCCGCATCCACGCATGGTCCGGGGAAGGACCTCATCCCAAGGGGTGTTATGTAGACAGCTTACCCTAATGCAAGCATTAATGGCTGCTTTCCTGGCCTGTGACCTATAGGTCACACGGAGACAACTTTACCGTTGCTCCAAGGCTACCATGTAAATATGGTAAAAACAATTTTTTTGAATGTTTATAAGTTTTTGAATTGCCTGGATATAAGTGTAGCTTTTAGTGTAGTGACTAAGAAGGCATTTTTTGAATCCCCTTATTGGAATTCATGGCTCTACCACAGTCCCGGATAATGGAAGAGGGTTGATGGTCAAATGAAAAATAGTCTTAACTATGATGAATTATCTGAATGCTGCATAACAGATACTGAGGTCTAAGATTTTATACAGCCGACTCCAACAAGAGTCAGGGCTGAGACACAGTTGATTAATTGAATATTTTTCTAAAGAGAACCTTTTACCTCATACCAAATTAAAAAATATCAAATGTATAGAAAACAAAGAAAAACAACCTGAGGAATTTGAGTGGTTTTGCCACTGCCAGTTTCTCCAACAATAATGGTAGTGGCATGAGTCTCCACTAAGTAAAGGATATCAGTTCTGTACTTGTACACAGGTAGCCTCTGCCTTTGCTTCTCTAAACTCCCATAACCAAATCTTGAAATCCCAAAAATATATATAAATAACACAACACATAAAATTGAAGTGTTAACATAACATACATATGCATAACAAAGAAAGCAATAAAAGTTACCCGGAGGAAGAAGAGGAAGAAGAAGTGGGGTAGAGCAGAACACCACCCTCTTCATCATCTACAAGACGGGGACGTTCAGTTCCTGGTTTCCAAAATTGGGACATTTTTGTAAGCTGGAGAGACTTTTTGAGGTTCTTTTCTTCACTGGAAATTTCAGACTGGAGAGGAACAAGAAAGAAGACGAGACATGGAATGGGCAACCATCATTTCTTCCAACTGAAATTCAAAGTACAAAACTACAAAATAAGAACCAAAATTCAAACTCAAAACAACTGTTAACAGAAGGGAGCTCGGATTTTGAAAAGAATTTTAAAAAAAAAAGGAAACTTTGAACCGTAATTGAGCTAAATCTATATTTTAAAAGAGTGGAAACGTAAGTGCTCATAACGAGATAGTATCAGTGGATTGTTTAAAGAATTACCTAAAATCAGAAGATTTTTGAGGGGAATGACGACTAGGGCTTTGAAACTGTGAAGGAATTGGAGTTTGTATTCTGGAGGGGGAACTTGTGTTTGTATTAGGGATTGCGTCTGTAGTTCAACACAAATCGCAATCCCGATATGCGTTTGAAAATCGCAATCCCGATATGCGTTTGAAAATCGCAATCAAAGATCACAATCAAAAGTCCAGTCAAAGATTGCATTATCTCTATATACAAATTTTTTCCCTTTTTTCCAAAAGAATTTTTGAAAACAATGTTTGGTCGGCCGTAGGGTGTACCTATGGCCGACCATGTTTGGATTGGTTCGATTTTATAGAATTTTTCTGGTTTTTCGTTATCTAAATATTATTTCAATTATTCTTATGAGAGAATTTTCTTACTAACACATAATAGTTATTTTTCTAGTCATCTGACAATAATGTTTGTTGATGCACACTTTCAGTGTTAACCGAATTTAGTAATTAAACATAAAAATTAATATAATACCTAAATAATAATGATCATTTCACATCCGGAAGAATATAACAATTTAATAGATCTTAACATATGATATGAATATGAAAGAAGAAAGAGATTGACGCATTAATACTTTGAGAAAGTGATCATACAACCCATTATTTAAGGTTAATAAATATGTAGCACTTCATATACTATTAAATATAATATCCCGCAAAAGAATTCAAATATTTTTAGATATTTTTTAAAGAAAATGTTATATAAAATCTTAAAAGTATACATAGAAATTATATGTTTATATGTCGGTTTGGTTCGATTTTTTTTACTCAATACCAGACCAAATCAAACAAACCTAGTCGGGTTTTTAATCGGTTTGGTTTGACTTTCCGGTATGGTACAATTTTTCGGTTCGGTTCCCCATTCTTACCTATTTTTCCTTCTACTCTTGAAAATCCGTTTTTAAATTTGAAAAACAGGTTCTCATCGCTTTTTCAATTGAAAATGAGAATTTGCTAGTTTTTAGTTTTACAAATTTACCGTATATTTTTAAAATTTATAAAATGACCCTATCAGTTTTTCATCTTTGGTGGATATATCTTTGGTGACGGATGGTGGAACATCAGTCGTAGTTGATACTTGAACTCTGCCTACTCGAAGTTTGATTATATGGTTATGAGAAATATGTGGTTATGTCTGCTTTTGTACATCTCTGTGTGTTAGTAAAATTAAAAAGTGTGATATTGATTTTGAATCTTCTGTGTATTGTAGTAAAGCAGAATATGATAGCAGTTAAACAATAGCATTTTGATTGTTTATTTCAAGTAGGATAATCAAATTGTGGTATTTTTGATATTTTTTACAAGTTGTGGGGTATAAATCATGTTTCATGGTTTTGAAAACAAAGACATTCAAATATGTTGCAAAAATTATAACCAAACACAACTTCATTTTCAATTCAAATTTTAGTGAAATTCCAAATTTTAAAAAAAATATAAAAAAAATAAAAAATTGGAATTCATGTTCAAACGCCTACTGTTTGCTTGCGTATTTCACTATGACTAGTCTTACGGTACGCGCGTTGCGCGTGTAACCTATCTAAATGAGTATAAAACTTTAAAAAATTATATAAATATTATTTTTTAATTAAAATAACCGTGTAAATTTGTTTCAACAAAGAATATTANTAAATTTATTTCAACAAAGAATATTAATTTTGTATAGCTAATTCAATGAGGAATATCAATTTATACCTTTCGCTCACTATGTTTTCTTTTAGCTATTTTAACTACTACCTTAAATTACTTATGAATAAATATATATATATAATTTGTTTTAATTAATCTCAACATATAAATTTATCTTATATATGTTTTTCTTTTCGAGTATCGTAATTGGTTTTATAATTTAATATGTGTATAAATTTACAATATGTATTTAGCTAATTCAAATAATTAACTTAAAGTACATTATAGTATTTATTACTTCAAATTAAAAAATACTACTATTATTTTTAAAACATAAGCATATCTTATTAAACTTATTTATATATTTTTTCATACACGACCTAGTATATTTAAGTTTGATTTACATATTATTGATAATTAGTTTCTTATCACAAATTAATGATTACTATTTTTTCAATAATAATTACTACTTCAAAACTAAATGCCATAGTAAATTTTAACGAATTTAACAACCAAGCTTCTAATAAAATACTTATGATTTAAATTTTGTTTTTTTATGATTTAAATTTTAAAAACAACAAATAAATCATATGAAAAGAAAAATTGGTCTTTTTGATTAAACAAGGACAAAGAAAAAAAATAACACATAAAACGTGAAGTTTCCTTGTTGAAAACCAACAAAAATCTTTCTTCCTACCTTTTTTGTATTCTTTTATGTCTTAATATATTGTATCCTTATTAGGAGAAGATATCAAACACTAAATTATATTAAATTTTATTTATTTATTTAGAACTCTAAAATATAAGGAAAGTTTTTTGATTTTACAATTTTATCCAATGTAAACTTTATTTTTAAAGGGTATAAAAGGCGAACGACATTTTGCTAAGGGCCTTAAGTATAATGTTGTTTTTAAAAAAATCACATAACATTATATTTCAATTATAATATAAAAGTTTAAAAAAAAGTATAAGTTTTAGAAGATGATGATTGTCGATCCTATTTAGGTAACTCAATAAAAGAAGAAATTATGCCCTGTGGAAATACTCAATCTTTTCAGTAAATATATTGAAGTTCAAATTTATTCCAGTTATATAATTTTATAATTTTAATTTCGTAAGTTATCATACTTTAATTTATAAAGCTTTCTTTTAGTCTTTAGACATGCGTTTTGCGTGTGTAACTTATATCATTGAGTACACATTGTATTTGGATTAAAAAATAAAAATTTAATTAAAAGTATATATTTCCAAATCTTTCTCTTTTATATTCTTAATTATTTATATATTGGCGAGTGTAGTTTGTAGATAGTATACCAAAAATTCGATGAAGAGAAGTGTGTGGTTTGTGTACTAAATTAAAATTGTTAAAATACAATACCAAATGAATTATAGTTATGTTATATTATTCAAATGATAAAATAATCTACATAAGAAAATTTCTTAGCTATTTTTAGAATCCACATAGTTGGAATAAGAAAGGATTCTTAAATAGACTTTAATATGATTTTGTTTTTGGATATGAAAATAATATTTTCCAAAACCACCTCTATCTTTCAACTTCTTGATTTTGAAGTCCAAAATATTAGAACTTTTATAGAATACATACAAAAAGATTTCATAAATAACATTTTTGTTAATATTAGTCTTAAATATGAGAAAATAATTACATGAAATTTTGTTCGACGTGAAATTTATTTACAAAAATACTATTAATATATAGATATAGATAATCCATACCGATCTACGTAGTTGCAGCATAAACTGCATATACATTCCATTCATGAGAGTTATTCTTTGCCAAAAAATTTACAATTATACAAAGGCATATAATGAAGTCACTGTGACTTGTAATATTGTCTGAGTTAAGTGTACAATGAACGTGGGATAGATATTTACGTTTCTCTCTTTTTAATTCTGATAAAAATAGTAAAAAATTCTAGCTCTTCTTTCACTTTACTATATTGTATAGTATTTCTGAATGATTGAGTTGATAATATTTTAGACAATAACTTTAATAGTAAAATTACATAAATTTTCTTAGCAGAGATGGTGGGAACTTTTACTTTGAAATATAATTTGGTTAGCATAACTTTGACTTTGAAACTAATAGATACTGATTATTTACGTCCAATATTAAAAATAAAATTATGTTAAACTTTATAAAAGCGTGAATATTATTAGTAAATAGCTTGTTCTGCAATGAACTAAAATTAAAATATAATTTATTTTAACCTCCTAAATATGAGTGAGACTAACGTGAAATATAATTACTTATGCTATATTGTTTAAATAAGGAAAAGAGTTTATGTAATGTAAAGTTTAAGATTTTAATTCCCAAGTATTGTGATTTGTACATACTTCAAATAAGGAAAAATTTAATAACCAAAATTTTAGTTGATTTTAAAGTCCTAAATATAAGGGAAGTAATTTAAATTTACAATTTTATCCAATGTAAAATTTATTTTTAAAGGGTAAAAAAGGCGAACGGCATTTCGCTAAGGGCCTTCGTGCTTTTAATATAATATTGATTATATTCGACACTCTTAACTTTACTTTAAAAAGCAAACCTCCCTCTCAACTTTAAACAATAAACGTTCTCCCCTAATATGTCAAGTACCCTACATTATCAACCTTTATCATTTTTTTACTTCTTTTTTAAAATCATGTTATATATTATATATAACAGACTTACCTATTGACAAAATAAATAGTATTTTTAGTGAAATAAATTAAAAAAATATTTTAAAAAAAATATTAATAACAACAACAACAAGTGATGTGATTTTTCGAGTTAACAAAGAACCAACCGACCAGGATCAAGATCTTACAACAAAAATGTGATTTGTGGGCCAATTTCAAGAAATAGCGTATCTCACGTTTTAGGACTCGGAATCTGATGATTCAAAAACGAGGTGAAAGATGACGATCTGAACTATAAGAAAGACTATTTACTCGTTCAAAACAAGTAAATATTGAAGATGTAGCAGTTCAATGAAACTTTTGATTCTAGGATATCAAAATAACGAATTTAAATTAAGAAACGTGTTCTTGAATGAAAAGTTCCTAAAGTCACCACTTGGAATCAATTAACGTGATAAAGTGTCACGACCCCAAATTCCGACCGTGATGGCGCCCTGCCGCAAGGCTGGGCAAGCCCGACCACAACAACCCAATCACGGCTTTATAAGCCCAACAAGAACATTTTATAAGAAATGGCAATAGAATGAAGTATAACTGCCCAGTCAGGGCCAAAACAGAACAACTCTGAACAATAACAGATCCCCAAGACCAAGGGGTCACAAGCATAGAGCCTCTACATAATCCGAATACAGTGATAGAAGAGTAAATACACTGTCTAATACAGAAAGAAATGAACTAAATGGAACAGAGGGACTGGGTCCTGCGGGAGACAGCAGCTACCTCAGCACTCAGGAAAATCAGCTGCGGAAAGTCAACTCCGATGGGGCTGGAGCTCAGCGGTACCTGAATCTGCACACAAGGTGCAGGGAGTAGGGGTGAGTCTACCAACTCA